TCCTGAGCCTGCTCCTGGCTTCCAGACAGAAGGATGGCAGGATCGTTTTTGTTCTAAAAATTGGATGTATTGCAAAATATACCAGCACAAAGGAACCTCCAGAACAGTGAACAAACTAAGTGAAAACAAGGAAGTGCCATAAATTCAGGACACGTGAAACAACTTGTTACTCCCAAAGCCCATAGTCTGCTAATTTGTCAAATACCCTCGAGAGCAGCGGTTCTCCACCTTCCTCCTGCTGCGGCCCTTTCACACTGTTCCTCATGTGGTCGGGACCCCAACCAAATAATGATTTTTGTTGCTACTTTTTAAGTGGAATTTTGCTACTATTATGAATTGTCATGTAAATGTCTGATATGCAGGATGTATTTTCATTGTTATAAATTGAACATAATTAAAGCACAGTGATGAATCACAAAAACAATACGTAATTATATATAGTGAAATATTTATTTCTAATGACAAATAATTGAAATTTTGTCGTGAAGCACGGTGTAGCATAGGTAACTGTTCACGCCGGAACTCGTATGTGGGCGTATTTGCATGTGGGTCGAACCGCCTGGAGACGGATAGAGGAGCGGTGTCTCAGTTCCTAAGACCATCGGAAGTATGTTTCCCGGTGGTCTTAGGCGACCCCTGTGAAAGGGTTATTTGATCCCCAAAGGGGTCGTGACCCACAGGTTGAGAACCACTGCTCTGGAGCTTCCTGGCTGAGGAACACTTCAAGTGTGGCTACTGGGACCGAGAAACTGCTTATTAAAATTACTTTAAATCAATAGAACTAGTTCCACGTGGCTGGTGACAGCATACACGCAAACATGAAGGATTATCTAGGCTCATTGGCATTACCAAACCTACCAGTTTTCCAGCATCCATTGTGGCCTTTAACTTTTTCCCCAGCTCTGAGCCAGAAGCTACCATAGCCCTCAGCATGTCCCCAGTAGCCAAATGGCAGACACAGAAGTTTTCAGCCAATCTGGGAGCCTGTGGAGAGAGAGAGAAAAAAAAAACCAAGCACAGTTAAGTTGTCAGGTCCTGAAGTCACACTGCCTGGGCCTGAATGTGGTCCTGCCACTTGCTGGTCACATGAATCAGGCACATACTTGTTTCCTTGCCTGTGATAGCGGGTAACAGTACCTTATACTGCGTCCTAACAAACACGACCACAGGGCCACAGTAAGAGTTACTTAAATGGTGCACATAAGAAGCCATTGTAAACATGAGCTATTATCAGTAATTCCACTAGACACACTAGTGATACACAAGCCTGCTTCCCACTATAAATGGGAATAAAAGTAAGAGCACTAATTCGGCACATAGATGCTGTGATGCGTAATGGCATAATGTATGAGGGAGCTTCAAAAAGTCTGTGGAAAAATGGAATGGAAAGATAGTGGAGGTTTTCCATGAGCACTTGGCACAATGTCTGGCACATCACATGGGCTGAATGAATATGCACTGAAGAAATGGAAGTGTGATGGTCTCGTATGAAACCACTGGGTCGGGCTTGGCAAATGCAGAGTGCAGCTACAGGCACCTGAGTTCACCTACAGGCAGACCTGACTACCGACGTCCACCCCCTACCATGCAGTACCACTATCATGATGCAATCACCTAGCCTCTTAGGGGCTCAGTTTCTTCATCTGTTTAAAATTCAGGCCAAAAAGTTCCACATAAAAAGTACCTGGCAAATAATAAGTACTTAAACCATTAGTTTTAGGGGGACAGTATATTCTTTTGGTCAAAAGAACTGATCCCAATTACAAGATACGCGACTGAGAAACGTTACTTCGCCTTTCTAAGTTTCAAAATTCCTCAGTAAGACAGAGATGGCAGCATAGGTCCTCCATCACTGATCTGATGAGAAGGCTACATAGTACTTGCCATATATAGGGCCTGTCATATAGTAAGTTCTCAGCAAGTGTTGGCTATTACTACAACCCCTGCCCTAATTCCATATTCATTCATTCTGAAAGAAAACACTTCTGAATGCTTCTTCTAAGAATCCTGCTGGAAGTCAGGGAAACAGAGATGAGTTGGAAACACACACGCTGCGCTCAGAGAGCTCGGTTTGGTGGGTCACACATCAGAATACAGAATTAGAACAGGAGACTGGTCAGTTCAACCTCTTTTGCAGTGGCAAGAAAGAAGACAGAACTCATGGGGAGTAGAACTTTTGTAGTTCAAGATACAAAACACCTTTCAGATTCAAACTGTTTCAGAAAATAAGTCTGGACCCCTGCACCAACCAATTCATTGGAAGCTTTCATTGGTGTGTTGAGTAGATTCTAATTCACAGTGACCCAATGTAACACAGCAGAATTACCAAGCCTTTTCTCTAGCAGAGCTGCCAGTGGGTTTGAACTACCAAACTTGCAGATACCGGCCAAATGAGTGCTTAACCACGGAGCCATAAGGTACCAAAAAGAGGTTTAAGTAAGTGGGCTCAATGCAGCACATTTTTTTGCGATTCGTGGATGGATGATTCAGTTCATAGCAAAATGAAATAGAGTAATGATGAATAGAGTAAAACTTGGCACTTTGGAAGACCAATGAAGGTCAGGACCCTGTTCCAGTCCTCCGGGCTAACACTGCAAGCCTCTTCAAGACACAGGAACGGTGTTTGTTTGTTTGTTGAAATCAGCCCTAGAGAGCAGTGTGGAGCTCAGGCTTGCTTACGGGGAAAACATTCAAAACCAAACTCACTGCCATCGAGTCACTGTCGACTCGCAGCAACATGCTAGGACAGTATAGAACTGTCCCGGGGAGCTTCTGACACTACCTCTTTACAGGAGTAGAAAGTGCCTCTTTCTTCAGAGAAGTGGCTCGTGGTTTTAAACCGCGGACCTTAGGGTTTGTAGCCCAAAGCATAACTACGATGCCAGAAAGGCTGACCAAAAACACCTCCGTGAAGAGCTGTTAGCACAGAACCTCCTTGTTTTATTTTTATCCCCCCCAAACTGTACGACTCTCATGCGATGTTCCAGGTAACTAAAGACACTGATCAATAAAAATTCATGGCAAGTCTAAAGCCTAAATTCCTCTTCCCCTCCCCGCGAGCTGCCTGGAGGTCAATGTGGTTGGCTACAGAGTATAAGCTGGAGTCAGAGAGCTTTGTACCCGAAGCCTGCCTAAAGCACTCAAGGGCGGTGTGACCTTGGGCTAGTGACTTCTCAGAGTCTCAGGTTCCTCACTAATCAAGTGGGGATAATGTCCATTTCAGACA